GATTATAGCATTATTATTTTATCCATTATACTCGATTGTCTTAAGTAACTAGTCTTTCTCTTTACTAAAATGTATAATTCTCGTTTTATTCTACCTATTATTCATTATACTAAGTAACATTCATATTACAAAATATTCACTTCTTATCAATGATTTTTTCAGATGACATCCCAAAACTAATTTGAACTATTTTCGTATATCCTCACTAAAAACTATCAATAATTATTAGTGTATTTTGTATTTATATCATAAATATTATGTGAATATACAATAGAAGATCTATTTCATCATTGAAAGTTATGAAACCTTATACCTAGAGACTATAACATATTATATTCCTTCTTACTTATCAACAAGAGGCAACAATATAATGAATAGTATTGTATATCGAATTTACAATACCATTTATTAAAATGAAATCTCTTCCTCATTAAACATATATCTATTATTAATAATATTTAATATGCACATTTAATGAATTTGTTATGACAATAATTCTCAAAATACTCATATTTACACTAAATTTTATTGTAAATAAAAATTAGCATGTAATTCATGTATAATGCCAACAGAAAAAACCAATACAAATTGAGAAATTAAAGGAATTAGTTATTTTAAATCCGAATTGCCTAGATTTTTAGGCATAAATAAAATATTTAAGAAAAGTTTGTAATGAATCTTGCTAAAGTATCTAATTGCAGATTTGTGAAACCATAATTCAATTTTTTTCTTCTGATTTCTCAACAATAACTTCTCTATAAATTAATAATATATTGCTTTCAAAATTTGTTGACAGAATGTTTTATGAATTTTAAAGGTATGATCCGTTTATTAATTAAGATCAGAAATTGAAAGATTAAAACGACTTTACTTTAAAGAAGACATACTTAAATAGAATATATTTAATTATTATTAAGTAATTTATGACTATAAAAAAGAATTTTAATACTTAAAAGACAAAATTAATTAGATTCTAAATTAAAAAGAATAGAAACTAACATCCTTTATTGATAATTAATGGATACATAAAAAATAATTAAAAGAATATGATAGATCATGTTGAGATGATGAAAGATGGTAGATTTATAAAGAAGGATTGTAATTAGTATTGCCTATATTTTAATAGAGATCATAAGAAGTAGTTAATAAAGAGATAAAATCAGAATAGTTACTAAAGTAAGAGAATAGATTAATTAAAAAAACTGTTTTAGGTGGATTATTTTATATTGAAAATTAGCATTAGTTAGATTTACAACAATTGAAATTAGAGAATTCACTGAAATCAAGTGAAGATAGGATATTTTAGAGTGCAATTTATTATCAAAGCCAAAGTAATATCAATATCATACATCTAAACCATATGGTATATATTAAGAGTTTTTTATAGTTTATAT